AAAGAAAGAAAGAAAGAAAGAAAGAAAGAAAGAAAGAAAGAAAGAAATTCTATCCTATTTTTTTACATTTATAAATTCGCTTTGGTATATTTTCTGAAGATGTCTGAGTAGAGATTGACTATTAGAATTATTATAATAATTTCTGGGAAACATTTGCATATTTTGACTTCCAACTTGTGAAACTTAACAATGTACCAAAGCTTAGGTTTTGTCTCTTCCTAACTAACCAGAGTATCAATTGCTTGAAACACTTACTTTTCTGTGTGATGTGGTAGAGTTCACTTGCATATCACAGGCAAGGAACAAGGAATATGTAACTTGGCAGGGCCTTTCAATTTATTTCAGTGTTTGACATAATTAGAATGTTGATGCACTACTGTGTTAAAAGGCATTTCATTTCTGCTTTCTAGAGTTCTTCCCTAAACTCCAGTTTTAACATGTTCTGAAATCGGAATACCTGTAGTTCCTTCTTTCAATGGAACAATGCCTAAGTTCATACAGTTCCTGTTCAATTCAGAAGAAAATATACAAAGGGGACAGGGGAAAATGTAATTTGACTTTTGTCCTTTTTAATAGGTGGTCGAACTTTACAGATTCTGAATGCCCAGGAGGACAATACTGGTAGATATACTTGTATAGCTACAAATGAAGCGGGGGAAACATTAAAACATTATGAGGTGAAAGTTTATAGTAAGTTTTAAAGCATTGTTTCTTGCTGAAATTCATATGTATTGTTCGATTCTCTACCATCTCTTTATATTTTATACAATTCCTACCTTAGTTGCATATTTTTAAGTATATATACATTCCATTGTTCATTTTGTTGCATTTACATCAGGATGGTAACGCCAAATTAGATGTTTCATTGTATATGAAAGTCTTCTGAATAACTTTAAGGAAAGTGGCTGCATAGATACACATCTAAAAAAAACATTTATTTCTTCACAGTAATCGAGGTTACTGTTCGGGATTTTCAGCAGGATGTGGAGTAAGCATTTTTGTTAGCTGTGCTCTTTTTTTCTTTTGTCTTTAATCTGCTACAAAAAGATGTATAAGAGAGGCTAGTTTTGAAAGGCTATCCTCCTGAAATTATAAATCCGTCCCATAGTAACAGACTTCCTAGCTGAATTAAATCAAGACATACATGAAAAACCACTGACTGATTTGTAGACAGGATAATGGCCCATTGACGGTTGCTTGGAATGGCAGGAACAGCTCGTGTCTCAGGGCCCTATCTCAGGTCCTTGGGAAGGACTTGATAGGTGGACAAAATGTCAATCCAACCTAAACATCTAGCTGACTGTGCGATGAACCACAATAATAATATATGAAACTGACGCTTTAAAGCAGGGGGTGTCAAACTGGTGGCCTGCTGGCCAGATACATCATATGCAGGCTATGCCCACCCCATGAAGGGGGAAAAAGTCACAAAACATCATGTGATGGCAACATGACATGGCAAGTTTGACATCTATGCTTTAAAGGAAGGTGCAAAAGATTAAATCTTAGAGCTAATGTTCATAAAATATTGAACTACAGGATCCAATATTAAGTGTCATTAATTAACTGATTTTAATTAACTGCATTGAGTAAATACAGGGACATAATGTTCAGCTAGATAACATTTAAATTAAAGATAATATTAGAAAAATCAAGTATAGTTGGGTGCATTATTATTATTTGTTAAAGAGTTACAGCTCTTTTGAGTCATCCCTTGGCAACATTTAGCAAGGAGCATTATTCATTAGGTAAGTATTCTAATTGGCACAGATTTTAAAGGTAAATACCCCTAGAGAGATATGTAAGTACTGCTACTTACATATGCCTTTTTTTCCTGACAACATTGTGAGTGTCAAAATGAGAAACCCCATTTCAGTTTGGTGGCTTTATTTTTATATTTACCTTTTTTTGGCAGTTCCTCCTACGATAAGCAGAGGGGATTTGTCAGGATTGGGCTTGTCCCCTAAGGAGGTGAAGATCAGAATGAACAACAGTCTTATCCTGGAATGTGAAGTCCATGCAATTCCTGCTGCTGCCATCAGATGGTACAAGGATAGACAGGCCAGTCATAAAGATAATTTCTTACAGCAAATATTTGTTTTAGAAAAACCAGGAAACTACTTTATAGCAATGTCTCTTCTTCCTTTCATCAAATTTTCCAAAACACAATGTTCCAAAGCTATAGGAAGTCCTGTTCTGTCTCAGCTATTATTATTATTATTATTATTATTATTATTATTATTATTATTATTATTATTATTATTATTATTATTATTATTATTATTATTTAAATTTATTTACCATCTATCTTGTTGTGGGGTTACACAATAATCTGTTACACAAGTCTAGAATTGGAGGATGTTGAAGGATGTGTCCATTGCATTCTGCTTTGTCACTTGCAATTTTGGACTGCTTTTCTAGATTTCAGTTAGGAAATGCAATTCTTTCCAGTTCTGAATTAATTTCTTCTTTTTGCACTTCCCTATCAGCATTTTAATACTTGCAAAATATTTTTCATATTATTTATTACCTAGTATTTATACTTCATACACTTTTCATATTTTTGCTCTCCTTGAATCTTTTCGTATGTGGAATATTATTTTTGGCTGACAATATTTTATTCAAACTAACAAGAGAGCATCTCTCATTCATTCATTCATTCATTCATTCATTCATTCATCTCAGACCAAGTGACTTTGGGCAGTTTAGACACTAAATAAATAAACAGAAGTAATTTTTAAAGGAAATGTTAAGTAATGTAATTTCCTCCCCCCAAAAACTTGCCCTTTGCTAATTGTTAGAATAACTATGAATAACAAGAACATTATTAGAGATACTAGTCTTAATTCTTTTGACAAAGTAAAGGAAAGTATAATACAATTTTCTTTAAATTTTACATTCTTGAATATTTTTAACTTAGCAAAAATGTATATCTTAGCAATGTTCTCAACTGTGGAATGAAAGCAATGGGAAAGAAAACCCTTTAAATCTATTTTTATTGCATAATTTGTAGTCCATGTGTAGCTTACCAGTCAGATGAACCCTTCTTTCTGTAATACTGGAATAAAATAAGGGAAATAGATCTATTTCAAACATGTCTCAGAAAAAGGCTCCAAGTATTCAGGAATAGATATAGTATTTCATATCTGATCTTGCTTTATAATTATATAAAATATAATTTGACTTTTTGGGGGGCGGGGCTTCCAATCTCTTGCCAAAGCAGACAGGCCACAATGCATTGCTGACTTTGGCTTAATTAGCCATAAACTATGCATGCCTATGTACACTTTATTTGTACATTGTAGAAAATGCTCATGTATCCTTTTGGATAATTCCATCACAGCCACTTACATCAGATGATCATCTAACAATCCAAGGTGGTGGACGCATCCTTCAAATTAAGGCAACTGAGATATCTGACACTGGCCGATACAGTTGTGTTGCTTCAAACATAGCTGGTGAGGATGAGCTGGAGTTTGATGTCAGTATACAAGGTATTGCTTTGACTATTTATGGGTGTATTCATAAAGATCAGTCTTCTCCAACCTGGTGATCTCTAGCTAATCACAACTTCTGTGCAGTTACTATAAATTTACAAATAGTTACTTAGACCATTAGTTAGTAAAATGGATTGCTAACATGATACATTGGGAGAAAAAGAAGACACTATGAAAATTGTTTTTAAAGTGCAAATGAACATACTGTCATTTTGTTGAGCCTGTTGTCTCCCCAGATTTACCCCTAGTAAAATTTGTGAGAATATCAAGTAAAACCTATTGTTAATCTGCCTTGGGATATTGGTAGTATGAACCGCATGCATTTATGATTTCTTAGGGAGTTGAGTTTGAGAAGTATGTTCAAGAATAACTTTCCAACTGTTTTAATAGGCCAGCTATCTAAATATGAATCCAAGTTATTCTGGGCTTTTGAGAGAGGCATGGCAAATTGAAGATGTCTCTGCTAAAGCAGAACTGATGACTTTAACGAAGATTAGAAGATTAGTGAATAGATTGGTTCCTTGGAAACTTTTTGGATAAAGAGAGGATGGAAGATTATCCACATATGCTCTGGAGAGTGGCTTCACTCTCTGGAGGAGCCACTCTCTGGAGACTATAGGACAGTAGTTTTTGTGGAATTGATCATTGAGTAACAACAGGATTAGCCATTTTGCTTGCAATTGCAGTAGATTTTTAAAGTTTGCAAACCTCAATTTCCAAGCACTTTTGGAAATCGCTCATTAACTATTTCTATGCTATTGAAGACATTCATAATGACATGAAAATGCCAGGTGGGTCTGCCTTTAATTCTGAATAAAGGAAAATAGTAATCAAAGATTACTGCAAAGAATCTGAAATAAAAAGGAAAAGGAAAATAAGATTTTGATCCTAGAAGGATTCTAACTAATCGGCCAAGAGAAAATATTGTTTCACTGGATCTACCAAAAAAAAAAAAAAAATGGCTGAAGTTTTAAAATTTAAAAGAGACAAACCAAAATAGTCACTGGATAATTTTTTTTCTTACTGGATTTATGAAAAAGGTCTATTAAAGCTTTGAAGAGCTCTGTGCAATGAGGCAAAGAAAAAATGAAGAGAAATAAAATCCTACAATAATATTTGAATAAATTAAAGAGTAAGTTAGAAGTAGAAACAAGGAAAGCAAAGTTGGTTTATTTGAACAAGGTTAAAATAAGATATGTTATTACTTTTGGCCATGGACTTTCTACAGATAACAAGACTGAAAGAATGATAACTTTATGGATTTGTTATAAGAGATGGTACATAGGATGAAGAGATAAATGTTTGTAACTTGAGAGAATGAAGACTCACTAAATGTGTTAATACTTCTTGTGATGAAGGTTGGAAAAGCCTCATACTTATTCTTCACTTTTAATCTGAAGCCTATATATTACAGTTCCTCCAAGTTTTCGAAAACCATTTGGATTCTGGGAAGATGGAAATGTGCTAAGTAGAAGTCAAAGTGGAAGAGCCAAAGATGTGATTGTAAACAATCCTCTGTCTTTATACTGTGAAACTAATGCTGTGCCTCCTCCAGTACTTACATGGTATAAAGAGGATTTTCCATTGAATTCCAATGATAAAGTACTCATACTTCCAGGTGTGTATTAAGCAAATTAATATTTACGGATATAATAAAATACTTTGAAATGAAGCTTTCTGACTCTTGACATAATGGTGATAAGATACCATCTTCCTGATATTTAAGCCTTAAGCCTTTTTACCTACCCTAAAACTTCAGAAGTAGGTTGAAAATATGAGGTCTATCAAAGTCCTTCTTTCTAATCATGAATCAAGTGGATCTATCTATCTATCTTAGAGCAACCCATGATCTGTGTTTAGAAGGATGGCAAGTTCATTCTTATTTTACTCTAGGAGGTCGTGTGTTGCAGATTCCTAGAGCTCAGAGTGAAGATGCTGGACGATATACCTGTGTGGCCATTAATGAAGCCGGAGAAGATTCTATCCAATATGATGTCCGCGTGCTTTGTGAGCTTACTTGATGTTTTTTGAGTTTGCAAATAATATATATTCTTCTTTTAAATGGCAGGCCTCACTTGGTTTGATTCTATATAATTCACTGTGTGCTAATAGTATTAATGTCTAATAAATAAAAATATAAATATTAAGATACTAAAGCTACAATAAGAGACATGGCAAGTAGAAAATTCTACTAATGTGATATATAGTATTAGATTCCCTTCTGAGTAAGACAATATCTAATATTTTCCCCTTGTTTAAAAAAAAATGTATCATGCTGTTCCTTGAAGAGTCATTTGTGATAATGGCTAATGCATCTCTGATAGTACCTGAAAAAATGTTATGAATGAAAATTGTTCTGTAGCTTTCTAATGTACATTTTTCATCTTCTCAGCAATGTGATGAAGAAGTCAAAGGGTACAAAACTGTTGTCAATCTTTCTGTCTAGTGCCACCATACTTTAATGGTGCCAGCAGTGATGTGACTGAGGAGCTGACTGTACTTCTGGACAAGATGGCAATGATGGAATGTACAGCAGAGGGCAGTCCTCCTCCAAACATAATCTGGGAGAAAGATGGACAGCTAATAGTTGAAGATTCCCATCACAAATTCCTACTAGATGGAAAAATTCTTCAGGTAAATCTGTGAAGTGCACTAGCTTCTGCAGATTAGATGCTATATGTCTCAGTTTCACTCCCACATCCTGTCAAAGAGGCTGAGACAATTGTGAAGCCATAAAAACCTCCACAATTCCTATTATGGAAGAATATGTACCCTTGTAGAGTGTACTTCTTCTTTTTTATTTTTTTGCTAGGGAAGAGGGAACATGAAAAATATTGACTGAGTCTGTAATAAAACAGCTTTTAATTGTTAAACATGTTATTTTCTAGCCAGTTTACCTTACCATTCACTGTAGTTTTTCTAGTATCTTTTGTTAGTATTTTTCCCTGAAAAGACAATATCTGGATGTTGATTACTCCTGTTTCATTATTCCTGTTACTCTTTGTGCTGCAACTATGTGATCTGTTTAAAAATCTTGAGAGCACCCAAAATATATGGAAGAGTTATGCCACGAAAGACATTGAACAAACACAGAATAGAGGTTATAGTCAAATGAATTGCAAAGAGTAAAGCATATTATAAATTAATATATTTACTTATTTGACAAGTGAAAATTTAACAATGTGTATATGAAGTCAATTAAAAAACTAAGATATTTAATACTTACAGTATATCTTTTTTTTAATAGGTTCACAATACCCAAATAGCAAATACAGGCAGGTATGTCTGTCTTGTGGAGAACATAGCAGGACGTGCCAAAAGATATTTTAATCTTAATGTCCATGGTAAGATTGCTATTTCCTAAAGTAATGATTACCATCTGTACTTTTACCAGTATTTTTAGCTGAGCCCCATCTCACTCTTAAAAATTATTTTTTATAGAAAATTAATATTTGGTTAGAATTTCTCTGAAAAAAAATTATTGAGAAAATCATGGGAAGGACCACCCAATTTGTAGCTGTGAAAAAAAAATCATTCGCAGATATGAATTATTTCCCTACAATGCCAAAAAAACTGAAACATTCTTGCCATTTTTTCTGCTCAATTTGGTTTTTTTAATTTAAAAATATCCAATTGTCCTTAAAAAAATAACACCAACAATGAGAAAATTATTTCTACCGTTCTATCACTTTCCTCTTATCCTAGATGACATTGTGAAAGCCCCTGAATCAAATAAATAATGTACCTCTAATCAAATAATAAATTTAGCTATCCCTTTTGCACTTACCCTTATATTTCTGCTTTACTTCTGATAGATTATTGTCTACTCACCATCTCAAATCAGTGCCCTTAATAGTGAATTAGTCATTTCCCCCCCCAATTCTTCATCTTGTTTATCTTTTTAAAGAGTTAGTATTCATTTTGACTTTTCTTGTTCTCCATGTATAAGAAATTTTGCAATTATGGATCTTCATTCTTACCATGAAGGCTGCTTTTTTTGGTGTTAGGCCATTTGGATGAGCTTTATCATCCTCACCAGAGTCAAGAGACGAGAAGTGATTTGACAAACTATACCAATTTGTTATCTAATTTAAGCTTGAGAGAGAGAAATTCCATTGGAGAAATAGTGCATAAACCTAACAACTGTCAGAAAATATAAATTACAAGCAGAAGAATGGCGAACAGTCTTATTTATGGTTTTTATGATTTGTGATGTTTAAGAAAACATTTCTAAAAAGATAGATTTGTGAGTTGATTCTGCATGTTTTATTCATAACAACAAAAAGTAATTTCATGGTGAACCAATTCTACCTTATTGTTGCTATTGAAAAATGTACAGAACAGGACATATCGAAAAAATGTTGTAGCTGATATGGATGCTTTGGCTACTCCAAAAGCACTAGCTCAGATGTTGCTCCACCAAATGCTGCAGAGATATAAGACTACTTTTTTATATATATAAAATTTTTATCTGGGTTTTCACAAAACATAATACAAGTAAAATTTCTTTTTTTGAGAATAGCATGGTCCCGGGTATCACTTCTCCATACAGACAAAAATTCAATTTCATATTTATCTTTGTGTTCTGTTCCATATCTTATTACTATTTTAACATTTTCTCAATAATTTTTCCCTTCCCTTAGTTTTCTCAATCTTACTTTTAATTATCTTATTCCTTTCTAAATTCAATTATATATATTTTTCAATACCTTTCTAGTCATTATATTTATACTTTTGTCTGTCCTGTTTCAATTTCATATTTTCTTTTCTCGTTAAACAAAATTTTTCCCTGTAGTTACAAACTGGAGTATGACACCTTTGTATCTTTTAAGTTTTATCCATTCAAGTCTTATTTAAACTTCAATTTATGCCTTTACACTAGGAACACTTATAATATTTCCATAATTTTTTCATGTTTCTTTCATATTCATCTTCACTTAAATTTTTATAACACATTTATAATAATTAAAATGTTCCCCTCCTTTCCTAATTTCATTCTCTCATTCTCTTTATTTCATTTATTTATTAAACATTCCATTACATTACAATGAGTATTTTATGTATCATTTTAATCACAGTTTTTTTCATATTTTCAAAGTTCATTTCTATTTCTAATATAACAATACTATCTTGCATACCCTTGCAGAATCCCCCTTTCAATTAAGTTTTCACCCATTATCTCTGTGTCTTCTAAATAGGGTTATATCCTTAATCCTTGTATGTTTTCCCTGTTTCTCTATGTCCTGTTTCTGTCCTTTATAATTTCTTTTCCTTTCCCTCTTCTTCTCCCTTCCCTTTTTGACCCCTTCTCTCTCTAATTCTGATTCTCTCTTCTGTAATCTTCTCTTCTGTTTCTTCCTAATGTTGTAATTACTTTTCAAACTATTCTTTTTTGGGGTTGTTTTTTCAAATCTTACATTTTTCACTCTTCCCCCTCCCCCTTTCCTTTCTTTTTCCCACATAGGAATACTTGGTCATTGAAAATGGCTTCTTCTTTGTCCCGCCCTTCTTGTTCTACAGGCATTTTTTGTTGTTTCTCTTAGTTCAGGATCTCCATTTCTAAAAATTGAAATACGAAGCCAAAATAACCTTTTCCTTCTTATGCATCTTCTTTCTGTTTTTTAAGTTCCATTCTCAATTCTTCCAAGAGTGATACTATTTTAAAAACTTTTAAACAACCACCTGATTAATTTTAGTCCTTTAGATCCAATAGCCAAAAATCCAAAAATCACCAAGTACTCCAAATAATCCAAAGCTGTTTCTTTTTTGCTTCTTTTTTCCACTTTCTCTTCCTAGGGTTCTCTTATCTTGTTACAAAGTTTCAGTTAACATGTATCTTTTAGGAATTTTGTTAAAGTTTCATTGTTAATTCCTTTCACTTCCAGGTGGTCTCCTCCATTTTTCCAGATCCCACCCGTTTGTTTTTTTCCTTCTTTTAAAAGTTTTTGAGAATCCAGAAATCTTTATTATCCCTTTGACATTTTATTTTCAGCTTAAATACCTGTTGATGTCAAAGTGGATTTTTGCCAGTTTCTTGCTTAAATCTCTTAATTGTCAATATAGGAAGAAAAGAAAAAACCCAAATCCTTTCCCTTCCCTCTCTCATTCGCTGCTTCAAAGTCTTCATTGGGAACAATGTTGTTCTTTATAATTCAAATTCCAGGGTACCTTATATTGTTGCTTTTTCAATTCAACCTGGTCAGCCAAAAACTTTCTCTTCTTATCTTCCTCCTGCACATTCTTTTACGGTTGAGTTCTTCTTTGAGGTGGCCATTTCTGACCACTGCTGCAACCGCCTTCAGGAAAGGGAGTAATGGCTAGCTGGGGATGAGAGATGCGACTCTCCTCAAGCCTGCTGGCAGTCTCCCCCCTCTTCACCACCTTTACAGAGTGGATTAGCCCTGAAACCAGCCAGCTCGGGGCTATCCAGTGGCTAGCACAGATTAAAACTGCGCATGATCGCAGATTTTGGTCTGTTGCTGAAGAATCTCAAACCGGACTATTGAGATATAAGACTACTTTTAATGGTAGTGAATTTGTTGTCTGAACACAAAGTAATTCCCCAAAGTGATGATGCTGGTTAATTTAGAGAGGTGGCCAATGGAATAAGTAATCAATAAAGCTCCTGGTTATAGCTTGATATGGTTGTTCCAAGTATTCCATATTGAGAACAAAATGCTTCTGTTCCAATTGTTTTAAGCCTGCTTATTCCACATTTAGATCAACAAATCTTGATTCTTTCAAACAATGTTCTTTCAAGTATTGCCTCAAGGCTATGATTTCATTTTCTAGTTTATAATGTTTATTTTATTTTTAAACTTTTTAGCCTAGCCAATACAATAGCAGTAACATACTATCTTCATTTTTGTTGGCTTAGACTATATTTTTATTTATGCTGATTTGCATACATGAGTCCATATTTTATATGTATGTGTGTATATGTATGAATTGAACATATATGTTTAAGAAAAATCTGATAGCATAAACCACAGAGCTCTGAAAGAGAGCAGTTTGTTTATTACAAAAGAACTAGCATGCTAACTCAAAATAGACATCAGAGGAAGTAGAATAACACATAAACTGAGAATGTTACTAAATTAGGAGAATTAAAATCATACAGTAAACATAAAAAGCACTAGAGCAAGTTTCAGGGAAAACAATACAGTATGATTTGATACAGAAATTATAAAGTCTGAATAGAAAAGATGAGGAAAGATAAATCTAGAAATGAAAACCAAGAATGCAGAATCTGTCGTGTCCGTCGAGAAAGGAAGCTCGGAGTCAGTGACTTTGTTTCAGCTCTTTATTGGCTCCTGATACAGCTTAAGCTTGAAGGGGAAAAACTGCGGCTTTTTATTTCCGAGCCGCGGCGGCCGCGGCCAATGACACCGCTTCGAATCTCCCGCGATTAGTTTCCACCAATCGCGGGGGATTCGCAACGGGCCAATCAGTGCGGCTCGCTCGACCAATCCGGTCGTCGTGCGTTTTAACCAATCGCGACGCGGGGCTACGAGTATGTAAATTGACTTGTACAGAACACCCCTCCCCTCTTGGTTCGGTCCTACGTAACGTAGTCCCGTAGGTAGGCGGGGCTTCGTACTTGTCTACTTGACTTGCGCAGCTTAGTTGTTGTTTGGTTCCCGGCCGGTTCGGTCGGGACTTCTGTTTCTCTTGGCCCTGTCGATGGAACCCCCTGGAAGGTGTCGCTGGGCCTCTTGTTGCAGCTCCCTCCCGGTCTACCCGGGTTGGTCGAGCTGCGACTTTCGCCGCTCCTGCCTGGTCTTTCCGGGCTGGTTGAGCTGGCCTGGCTGTTCCTTCCTGGTGAGACTTCGGGCTGGCTGTTGACTGGTGAGTATTGCTGGTTATTTCCTATTTGATCCCCTGTATCTTCCCTCCCCTCTTGGTTTGTGTTATCGGGGTCGTCTGTGTTTGGTTGCGTGTCGGTTGTGTTTTTTGTTCTTGATCTTATTTGATCGATGTGGCGTTTCCATGTTTGTCCGTCGGTTGTCTGTAGCCGGTAGGAGTGGGGTCCTGTCAGTTGGGTTATAGTTGCCGGTACCCATAGTGGGTCTCCGGTAAGGTTTTTTGCATAGACTGCGTCGCCTGGTGCAAAAACCCGTTGCTTGCTAGATGAGTCCGGGGGTTTTTCCGGGTTGTATGTGGGGTGTAGTCTGTCGAGTGGTGACCTTAGTTTTCTCCCCATTAGTAATTCTGCCGGGCTTTTGTTAGTCGTTGTGTTTGGGGTGATATGTTGTATTAGGAGCATTTTATTTATTTTTTCTTGTATGTCCCCGTGTTCGATCTTTTGGATGGTTCTTTTTGTAAATTGAACCATCCGTTCTGC